TCTTTCTTTTTCTTCACATGGTGGGGGTCCCATATGTCTCCCACTAATTATTCCTTTTTGCAAAACATAACTTATATGAGTAATAAATTTCACATGTATATCTCATATTCCACAAAAATCTAACCTTCCTTGGTAAAATTTCGTTTAACTTTAAATGTTAAAATTACACATAAGTCCTCAAATTTTTCTTTATTTACCGTATGACCCTCCAAACTTTCATGATTAATAATTTAGTCCTTCCAACACTTTTTAAATTTCAATTTATCGTTATTTTCCTTCATTTCCATGTGTACAAATATAATATAAGGTTTGCACTTCATCAAGGTGTCACCATAATATTTAAATATATACTTACCCGCTTCAGCTTCATTTAATAAAGACATGCAGGCTCCACTGACATCGTTTTTCTTCAAAATTCTTCTTTTCTTCTTCTCCCCCACTTAGATTAGTCATATAACCCTCTCTTTTAACTAATCTCACTAAAAAATAATATTTTAATATTTTTATAATTTTTTTATAAAATATTATTTTATTTCAAACTATTCTTTTTACCTATCACTGTTCTCTAACACTTAGACTTACGTCAAATAACTCTTCTTCTCATCGATAGAGTCTTATTAACTTCTAAACGAGGGTACGGGGTGTTACAATTACAAATAGCTCATCATCATCATCAATGTATTACTTCATGCTACCTAGGTATGTCCCTTCCAAGCATCGCATATAGCATTCTTAGCGTAGACTAGTCATAGATACAACATTCTTAGGCATATTGCACTATCCATTTCATACATGTATTACTATTCTTAAGCTTAGGCATAATCCTTGTAGGCACATCATATTATTTCCATGGCATACATTAGTCTGGACATAGCATTCTAGACACATATAGCACTACACATCAATCATGGCATAATTTCTCCTCATATCATAGGCTCATAATCATGCTAATATCATCTAGCCTAGATACAACCTCACCAGGCACTTTACATAGCTCATAATCATTCACTAGTTTAAGAATTCTACTTTTAGACATACATATCACATGAACATATTATATTGCATTCATGGTGTCATAGGGAGCATACAGGCACCTAGTCATTGTGCTTCAAATCTTAAAAATCCCCACTCACCTCGATAATTCGAAGTGCTCTTTTGTTAACACTTGCACAATTCAGATCATCAATTTCTTAGGTTCAACTCAAGTGGTTCAATATTTAGAAAGGGGTAGAATTCTTACTCCCATTGGTCATCTAGCATTCACTAATATAGTCATCTACATTAATACATTGATTCTCTATATCGTATTCTAGTTTTAAACTTATTTCTTAACTTTTAAATAGCTCAATCTATAGCTAACCAACATATAATGCTCAAATCTCTTAAACTCTTCAACATTGAGCTTAATCTTTACCTTACAGTTTGGCTTGCTTAAACTTCAAATCTCCAGCCAACTTTTAGCATCATTAATCACCAAAGCTGGAACACATATTTCTATATTATAAACCATTTAAATTGAAAACTAAATAGTGAAAAGCTTTAATATTAGCCTTAGATTAGTTTTCTAGCCTCCAAATACCTTATTTCAACTTCAATTCATCAAGGGGGATGAGTTTTGAAAGCAAGGGGAAAGGGTTTTTTTGTTCTTTTGGTTGAAAATAGGTGAGCTACCAATCCTTTTTTTTTTTTGCATATCTGCATGTAAGTATCTATAGATTTGGGGATGTATCAATATATTTTCATAAGATACCCTGCTTCAAATCCCACATAAGGCTATGTATTGATACAAATCCCAGATAATGTTTTTTGCTTTAAATTTATCGATACATTTGATAATATATCGATAAAAATAACACAAAATGTCCCCTACTTCAAATCTATCAATACTTTTAATGATGCATTGATACTTAATTCCCAAAATACCTATCTCATGTTCTTCTTGCCTTTAATGTATCGATACATGCAGCCTATGTTCTTCATCATTTTTCTAACCATATTCTACCAAGCATTTTGTAGATCATTTTTATCGTACTTTCATTTTCATGTCTCTTTCGCATCATTCACAACTTATTTTCAAGCTAAGCTTACCTTAATTTAGGTTACTTCTATCCTTATTGACTCTCCCTTCACCAAACCTGCACTTGCAAAGATCTAAAATTGTGTACAAATCTCATAATTGTGCTAGTGTATTAACTTACTTTGAGATTGAGCTAGGTTGAAGTAGTTTACTTTTACTTAACATATGTCTAGGTCAAAGGCATGTTTAAAACCTTATTGACTGAATTTCTCTTGATATTTGAATTAAACACTCATAAGAGCTCTGTAACGACCTCTTCCCTAGATCAGTACCAGCATCCAAGACTTATGAGTGAACCTGCCAAATCTCGAGCAAGCCTTAGTTAAACCTTCAGACAATTTAAACTCAACTTACAATTTTAACACCATAGTTCACTTAAACCAAATAATCACAATGTTTAAAACATGGCATCTAAATACTAATAACCAAGTTTGGTAACTCCACACAATTTCAACACAATAAGTAGTAATCATTACATAACTTTAAGTTTTAGCGAATACATTTTCAATAAACTACTCATCATTATAAATTTGACTATTTGACACAACATGACCTTTAGGTAGTCGAGCGAATTGGAGTGGAAGTCTAAGAGATGCCATTACCTAGATTGTAGTCGATCCCGAGGTAGTGAACAATGCACTTGAACTGATTACCTATCTGTAAAAGGAAATAAAGAAGGTGAGTCGCACAAACTCAGTGATCATCAACTCCGTGAGTAGGGCGTAGATGGGAAACAAGCTTAAGGCAGAAGATTTGAATATTAAAAATATAAGAATGTATGTAAACAATTTACTCGAAAAGGGAGGTTTGTGCCTTATATGAAAAATAAGTAAGTTGATGCTAAATAATCATTTAAATCAAATATCAACCCAATTCATCTAAAGATTCCTACCATCGAAATCATTTAACAACTAGTCTAAAGCAATTTAATGTTGTCACGCATGCTCCCGTAAAATTCAACATTTTACAAAGCTTATGTGCAAATTCATAAATCACCTCGTACACGAAGAATTAAATCAAATGTCATTATATAAGTAAGGGAGTGGCAGAAAAACCATTATTTTTCACCATGCGAAAACTACGTACGTGAAAAACAAAAAAAAAATCACTCTCAAGCAAGTTTAGAAATAAAAAACACGTAGACCCGCTTCCACGTAATAACATTCGGGAGCTCCGCTCCACCGGATCCCCACAGCCATAGAAATCTCAACGATGTTGGCCGACATTGGAGAAATCAAGCGGCCGCAATCGCATATATTACTAGTGGTCTAGCCACAACAATCATAGACTATGGCCCCAGCCAAGTCTAACAGCCCGTCAATGACCTAAAGATTCTATAGCTAGAGCTCACTTGTGTACAAGGGTCACACTTAAACGAAGTGACAACAAGCCTACTCTCGAATCTCCCAGTTTAATAAAACCATTTTAAAAAACTAAATTGAGTTTTCAAAAGATCATTTCAAATCATTTCCAAAATACCAAGCATGGTAGTGTACTAAAATCCCTTTTTTTTTTCCAATATTTGCAATGCCAAAACCCTTTTTGCATGGGGTTTAGTTTTCAAACCAGCATGGTGAATATGAAATTCAATCATGAATGCGCATCACATAATCAATAAGGCACATTTTGACATAAATTATATTGAAAAGCTTGTTTCCCTAGTTTTAAAATCCTTTACGTATATAACTCATATACATCTATTCAAAACAAATTTCAAATACTTTGGCATTCACAAACCAGCTCATATTGTCCATAACTCACATTTAAAATAATCGACACGTTTATCCTTTGTACAATATTATATATTTATATATATAATATGGAAATTTGAAAGTCGACCCCCCCTACTCACCTCACAATAAGGGGACACTATGTCGTTGTTGATTCAAGTGCGTATTTAGCTAATTTTTATTT